TGGGGCGCTCAAGGAGCCCAACGCACGGGACCTTGCAAATCTGTGTTGAGGATCCGGCTACATGAGTTGAGATGGCTCGACCGTTCTGGATGCAGCCAGCCGCGTGCTCACAGCGAAGATGCAGTGGCAGCCCAGTGAGCTTCACCCGAAGGGCCTTGCATCCATTGCATGGAATTGGGGGAAGCTGGCGAGGCGAAGTATGACATCGCTGGATGCTCCGGCCTCGGTGGCATGTCAGAAGCTACAGCGTAAGGACCCGGGGCCTCAGCCTCGGGAGCTGGCAGGCATAGCGTGGTGGCCTGCCAAGTCTGCGACTTGCCACCAGCCGCCTGCAGCTGCTTCACCATCGGGGTCTCTGGGATCTCTGAGATCTCTGGGAGCACGGGACATGGCCACCGTGGCCTGGCGTTTTGCGCGCCTGCGGTGGCGAGAGGAGCCGTCTCTTGCCGCAGCCTTGGAGGTCATACCGCCCAGGCTGCAAGGTGGCAACGAGCCCCATCCCATGGACTTGGCGAATCTTGCATGGGGTCCCTCCACGTCACTGCATGTGAACCAGCCCGCGATGTCGAGCATAGCAGGCTGCACAAGGGATCAAACGGAATCGCCTGACGCGCGGCAACCAGCCAGCATTGCGCAAGCGCGCACCAGGCAGACTCTACCTGGGGTGTGCCCACTGAGCTGCCTGATGGAGAGTGTCGTCAGCCGTCTTGATGCTGTGCCGGCGCAGCAGGTCGGCTCACTAGCGGATGCCTGTCACATAGCTGGCTCTTCGTGCGCGGCGCATGCGCACGAAGCTATTCTGCAGAAGCTCGCTGGGGTGACTTCCCAGCTTAGGGCCCCACTGACTCCACTATGCTGTTCCCAGACCGGCTTTCACGGGGCCATGGAGCCTTTGCTGGACTTGGCGGCGGCGGCGTCACAGCTCGGAGCAGATCAGTTGGGGCACGTGGGCTCAGGCCTTCTCCTGGACAGTCTCGGCATCACCGTGGCTCGGCCTCGGCGAGGGTTTCCGGTCCTCGTGGAGATCGCAAAGCCCGAGTCCAGGAAGCTGCCCCCCGTGGCTGCGCTGTGCCGCTTCTCCCTCGGAAAGCAGCAGAAGCAGGGCTCACTTCGGGCTGTGAGTGGGGTGAGTGATGGACTTCGTGCGCAGCGGTGGCTGTCGCCCCTGCCTCTGTCGGTCGGCGGCCACGTGGACCGGAGCTTGTGTGCGGAGTTCCAGGTGCTGGCGCGTACTTGCGACGCCATCTTCGAAGACATCCCCTTTGCAGACAGAGAGCACTTCTTGGGCCAGGTTCAGCTCTTCATCTCAGCCCCGCCCTGCTTGTCCTGCATCGCAGCCATGCGTCAGTTTCAGTTGCTGCTGCCGTCCGCCGGCTTCGAAGTTTCCTGGGCCTCGGAGCCCTCAGAGCTGAAAGCCCTGGAGCTACAGAACGGAGCCGGGAGCAAGGAAACGCAGCGCACATCATGTGTCCGTGCAGAGCATCTTCCAGCACCAAGCTGCCTTCTAGACTCTACCCAAAGGCTCCTACCTAGTACTTTTTTGGGGTAGTATACTATAAAAACCCCCTATAACGAAGCCAAAAAGGAACTACATGGAACTAGATTGGAGCCTTCAGCTAGGCCCCTACACTGCCATACACCCCCCAATCTGTGGAGGCACGGCTTTCCGGCCCCGGCCCGGGGCTGGCAGAGGCCCGCAGTTCCGGCAACAAGGCCGTGGCCTCTCAGCAGGGGGCTCAGAGGATGCTTTAGAGGTTTTATAGGGTTTATAGGGTTTATAGGGTTTATAGGGTTTATAGGGTTTATAGTGTTCAGGAAGTTTAGGGTTTAGGGTTTGCAGTTTAGGGCTCACAGCTTCAAGGGGTGGCAAGATGGGCGCGCGAAAAACTATTTCGTCAACCTACAGGATACTCGTGGTGGGGGGGGAGAGGGGGGATTAGAGGGAGCTGGTGGGCTTCGGCCTCTCCAGGAAACTGCAAGATCTACTCACAACCACAGAACACACAACAGCCGCTAACACCCCAAGGACCTGTGCAAGGTGCTTGACCGAGCCCTTGGGCCGCAATTAGAAGCCCACTGAGATGGAGAAGCCATCGGTGATGGAGCTGGGCAGAGGACACTGAGGCGCTCAGGGTTTCCGAGGCACAGCGCAAAAACGATAAGAGACACGAGTTGCAAGAACGCGCGCGCGCGCGCGCGCGCGCCGGCGGGGGCGCCGAGCAACCTCCCGGCCATTGGTACGCTTCTTCTATCTTCCTGTTCTTCCCACCACGACAGCCGGCACGACCGCTGCGACCACTTCGACCGCGACAACCACCATCGCGACTGCCACCCCTCTCAAAACTACTACTTATCATTCCTCCTGCTGCTGCAGCTGCTGCTCCTGCTTCGCCAGCCGCTACCTGTGGGTCACTGCTGACAGCTATCATTGCTGCTGGTCTTATCAATCCCAGTATGGCAAGCATCCTGAGGCAGTATGCGCTTGCGGCAGAGTTCTACTGTCTCGGGCTCCAGAGCCCGGAGATCGAAACGCTGGCTCCTCTGCTGAATTGGCAAATGCAGTTCATGGACTGTGCACGATCAGGGCTCCCTCTCAAGGCTGTATGCACGATGCTCTTGAACATGCTGGTTCAGCTCTGAAATCGCTACCCCCCAAACCCTAAACCCTAAACCCTCAACCCTCTCAAAGCCCGAATGCAAAGAGCAGCAGCAAAGGTTCGCGAGAGAGAGGAGACCACGTCACAGGGCGCACCAGCACAGGCTAACATGCTGAAAGGCTGCTACTTTGCCAACCACCGCTTGCATTTCGTTTCCTCGTCGGTTGGCTGGCTTCTCCAAACTTCTCCATAAGCTCAAGCCCTTGAAGCCCTAAAATGCCATGGTCCTTTTGCCCTGAGCACCAAACCATGCAAAACCCTCGAAAGCTCATAAACCTCCCCCTAAAAAAATACCCTATAGACCCTAAACCCTAAGCTCAAACGCTGCATGCCAAACAAAGCCTCAGCCTGCCAGAGACCCCCGAGGCGACGCTGCTTTCCAATCGCTGCCAGGCGGGCTACGTCGGTTTTTATTTTGGGACCTTTTCGATGTGCTTTGGTTTTGTTGGGGGGGAGGGTTCAGGCCGGTGTTAAGTTTTTTTGGGCAGGGACGTTTGGGGATTTTTGGGGCCACTTCATAGGTAGCCTCGCGAGAGGCGCACCCTAAACCGTCTAAATGCAATCATCCCTACACGCACTAAACACTAGGCACCAAACCCTCCCAAACTCTCCCAAACTCCTCAAACTGCCTGAGGAAGCCTCCCCATCCGCCTCGGCTCAAGCATGTCGTAGTTTGCTAACTTTGCGGCTTCCCATACCGCAAGAATGGTGGTTTAAGAGTGAAGCAGCGGGTCCCTATGATCGTAACCAGTACTAGGGTTTAGGGTTTAGGGTTTAGGGTTTAGGGTTTAGGGTGAGGGGTTTAGAGCTATCTCGCGGGCCCTTGCCTGAGGTTGCGTAGCAAGCCTTGGCGCAACCCATGGTTCATGGCCGTTCCGGCATGGCTCTGTGTGGCGGGGGCCCCGATCCTCCGCTTGAGAGCTTGCATGAAATCAGTGGTCGGGTTTGAAGGGTTTAAGGTTTAGGGCTAGGGTTTAGGGCTTAGGGCTTAGGGCTTAGGGCTTAGGGCCTATGGCTTAGGGTTTAGGGTTTAGGGTTTATGACGGAATATTTCCTAATGTTATTCCCTTATGGTCCGTATGCAATCAAACATTATAGCAACCCCTAAACACCCCATTCTGTTGATTAAGGCCTTTAGATGATTTTCAGGCTTATAGGGTTTGGGGAGTGTTTATTGGGGTCTGGAGGCTTCTTACCATCTTTGGCCAGGTGCTATTGCGGACGGCGGCGGCCAATAGAATACAAGGAGGCAAAGGTTCGCCGACATTGATTGCCTTAAAGCCCCGAAGCCCGAAGAGCCCTGAAAGCCCAAAGCCTGAAAAATCCTAAACCCTGAAGCCCTACCTGAATCCCCCCAACCCTACAGCCCGAAAATCCTCAAAGAGCCCAAGCTAAACCCAAAAGCCTAAGCTACCCGAACGTTCCCTCAACCTTCAACCCTAACCCTAAACCCTCGTCGTCAGCGTGGAGGCCTTGGCCACTGGTCCTTCGTGCAGGGAGCGCAGCGGGCGGTACCAGCAAGGCCAGTCTGGAATTTGAGGGTTGAGAGTTTGGGCTTCAGGGTTTAAGGGTGTACCCCGCACCTTCAAAAAAAGCCCTCCAAGCCCCAAACGCTAAGCAGCCCTCAACCTGGAACGCCCTAAGTCCTAGACAACCCTAAGCCCGAAGCAGCCCTCAGCCCGAACACAGCCCTAGACCCTAAACCAGTTAGCAGAACCCTTGCCCATTTTGGGTGATAATACCACCAGTCAACCCATTAGACGATTATTCCTATACCACCCCTACACCTCACCAACTATATCACCACTACTACCCCATTACCAAGACCAGTATAGGAATAACCGATTACCTCATCCATATAAGAGGATTATTCCTATACTCCCTACTACAATCACCCAAATATCACCACTACTTCCCCATTACCAAGACCAGTATAGGAATAACCAATTACCCCATCCATATTCCCTAAGGTGGTATTATTACCCAAAATGGGCAAGGGTTCTCTCATAGATTTTACTAGGTTTCGGTTCTAAGGTTGGCTGTCCAAAATGTAAAGGTGGAGAAGCCAAATCCACCAGCACCCCCCCAAGGAGCAATGGTAGACACACATCATTCTGCAGAGGGTAGGATCATGGATGCCGGTTGTCGCGCGAATTCCTCGGTCGTTGTTGGCACAGTTTCCACCTGAACTAGCACGTGTGCACTATAGCTACACCAGTTCGAAGCAAGCTTGTCATCAAACTCTTGACATGACAAAGACAGCCTGTGCACATGTAGCTTCACACGCTACTCTAGATGCTCTGTCATTGCCAAATTCCCATTGCCGCTCCAAATTGATGAGCCATGCCTGCTGATCGTCGCAGCAGGTCTCCAAGGAGAACGGACAGAGACTTCTGGTGGGTTCGGCGTGAGAGTGCAAATCCCCTGCTGATACGGCGCGCAGAACTGAAGCCTCCAAATGTAGTGTTGGCTATTTTGGAAGTGGCCAAAGAGAAGATGGGGCTGACAATTGCGACGGACGCAATGGTGATGCTGAAAAAGAACGGAGAGGAATGGGCTAACGATGCTCGGGTCAACGACGTCGTTGGTGGCGAAACAGGTGCAGACGCAATCTCGATTGCATTTAAGGACATCCCAGCCGTATCATCACAGGCAACTTATCCGAAAAGTATCGTTTTTGCCTTCTCCGATGCAGGTTTCCCTTCCCCGCTTATCCCCACTACTTAGCCTATTTAGTCCCCTTAAGTAGTCCACGCTAGGAGGTTTGGTCCTTGCTAGGATTTATTGCTTGGTTAGTTTGGTGGTTCGGGTGTTTTTGCGGTTTGTGACACTTTCAAACTCTTTTGCAACAGTCGAAATATCAGAACCTCCTTCAGGCAAGAAGCAGCACTACGGACTTGGAAGATGTCTTGAAGAATTTCGCGGCAGATGTCAAGGAAGATGTGGCAGCAGTCAAGGAAGCAGTCAAGGAAGACGTGGCAGCAAATCTGCAGCCCCTTCGGGATGCGGTGTTTGGAATTCCAGCAAGGAGTTTTCGCAGTGCAACAGTTGCCTCGGATGTGCGAGGCGCGTGTGTTGCACATCATGGCGGAATCGAGCAGTGCTTGATTCTTCGGCACTTGCATGCCGATGCTGCAAAAAACTACGCGTGGAACGTCTGCGCCGCGCATATCTACAACAAGGAGAAGTGCAATCAAGTCGCAGTGCTTGACTTTGGCGTGGACGATCCTCAAAACATTCTGGTTCTTATGCGACATTTAGAGTATGAGTTTGACAAAGGGCGGTTGATGTTCATTCCAGCGCTCGAGGATGCTACTATGCAGCAGCGAAAGCCACGGTTCCAAGATACTCTACAGCCTTCCGCACGTGACTTGCCGCTGGAGATTCACGCGCACAACGAACTGAAGAGTGAAGCGGTGCGGACATGCTATTTATCTCCACATTCGGAGAGTTGGTACGGAAAGGTGCATGTCTTCAGGGCTGCCGGTCATTATTCTCCACTCACTTTCGGGGAGTTGGATGGCAAGATCTTTCTAACAGCACCTGTGTACATGAGGGCACTGTTCGAGAAAGCCGTGGGCGCGTGGCTCACACACAAAGGCGACATGCCGAACCCGCATGATTACCTGGAGCGGTTCAGGTCAAGATGCTCGAGCTGGGAGAAGTATTCCCGCATTCGCTGGAGACAGCTTGGCAGTGCATCAGTAGAACAGCCCGTTGAGCATCCCGACCCTCCTGCTTGATGGACATGTTTCACATGAGATCTCTGCAAGTGATGGAAAACAGGACCGGCAACGAATGTCCAAAGTTCAGCAGGCGAGCCAAACAAAGGGGCGCTATTTATGTTGAGGAACCTTCTTTGTTTTTTCACTCGCAGGTTACAGAAAGGTAGACCTGGTGATAGGTTTTATACCTTTAGTATTCCAAAGCGCAAATATGGACGGCTTTGCCCTTCTACGAAATAGTAGTTCTGTCCTAGTTTCTTTTCAACTCTCTCAACGGTAAACACATTTTGTGACCATGTGCTTATCCTCTCCACCTATGCCCTTTTTCCTGAATATTTTTACCCTGTCTCCCTCCCTTACTTCGGGGTATATTCTGTTACGCTTGGTGTTCAAACTCAAGTTCAGTTTTATCTTTATTTCATTGCTAGGTTTTCTCGCTTCTTTGGGCGTCATATTATGCGCCGAATGCACCATTTTATTATTGTATGTGAGTAATACCTCAAACACATAGTCTATCCACTGAATATTTGTTTTGCCGTTTTTTTCATCTGCTTCTATTCTATCATACATCATCTTTTTGAAAGTTCGTATGAACCTCTCAACAAAATTGGCATGCCCCCTCGTTCTGTGATGATGAATATTGTTCTCTCTTAAATATGTCTGCGTTGCATCTGTGCTTAGACTTGCTTCATCGTCTGTGTAAAGTAATTTTGGTGTCCTACCCATTTCTTTGAAGCCTTGTATCATTCCACTTGCCACATCTCCTTCGCTCTTACTCTTAATAGGTATTACTGTTGCAAACCTCGTGAATATATCCAACATTGCAACACCTACTTTAAATTTTTGGTCAGGAATATCATTCACAAAAAACAGATCAAATTGATATCCCCAGTATGGTTCTTTCGGTATAAAGGAATTCTGTCCCCTCAACTGTTTCTTTTGTTCAACATTCCTCTTGAACCACTCTTTAACATCATTCAGTGTTATAGATGAGTCTTTTTGCTTCACATCGTTGTATGTAGTGGCAATTGAACCGAAACCAGAGCGATCATAAAAGATGTTGTTTATTATATCATCTTTCTTAGAACTGTTCATTAGAATGAAGGCGATATTATTTTTCCAAGTTGTTCTTATACAGTTGATGTTTCATCGTTTTTTCATGCTTTGATTTTCCATCCAAGCGACAAGCAGATCCGCATTCACACATGTATGTTTTGCTGTATTTGTCTCCCTGTCTGCTTAGAATTTTCGCTTTTTTTGTCTTGTAGTAGTTCTGCATGTATTCTTTGATTTCTTGTCTGTGTTCTTGTTGATACTGCTTCTTATATTCTTGGACTTCTCGTTTATGTTTACGAGCATATTCCTTTATCCTACATGCAACTTTCTCTCTGTTGTTTGTGTTGTATTCTCGGCATTTCCGTATACATATTTCTTTATTCTCTTCGTAATATTGTTTGTGCGTTCTTCCTGCTACTTGCTTGTTGACGCATTCTGTCGCCCTTATGTATTCCCCCTCTCTTTTTCTCAACTCGTCTTTTTCATCGCATGGGTAATGTTCAATAAGTTCAATTTTGCAGTTGTCAACACCAAACTCATCAAATAAATAGAATGACCTTGTATGTTCTACTTTTCCATTCAAGTATGCAGCATATTTGCTTCTATGTCTCGCCATTCTTTGATTTAAACTTTCGCAAGTGCTTCCTATGTAGCATTTTTTGTAGCCGACATCCACGATTTTGTAGACCTTTCCATTTTGATATTTGTTCATATCCTCATTTATCCTCTATCATCCTCTCTTTAAATATTGATGTAATCTTATTTCTAAAATTAAATCAGCATTCTTCTGCTTTCATGGGCATCACAACTTTAACATTATTCATGTCATACTTAGGTCCTTTCTTGTTCTGAGTGCTGTTGAATTCTGCCAGTTGCTCTTCGGTTAAATCCTCTATTGTGCTATTGATATTGTTGTCTTTCAGATATTGCTTTAACTTCTTCTTCTGAATGCGCTTCAAGGCAGAATCGCGTTTTTTCTGCATGTATCCTTCCTCCTGTCTTCGCTTGTAGTAATACAGTCGGTTGTAAATTGCCAACTGTTCTCTTATCTCTTCCATGGTCATATCCTCTGGGGTTTTCATAGACATATTACTATACTATATATTATAATCTTTCTTTAAGTGAATTTTCTGAACAGAATTTCCCAAAAAATATTTAGTTTTAAAAACTTATCTTCAGAAAAACATTTAAATATAAAATTATTTTATCATCTAGTTATATTGACATGAGTAAGACCATCCAGCGCGGTGTAAAAGCATTAGAGACAGTGTGTGACTTTTATAAAGGCAGACTTAACAGAGCAACCAAAACTAAAATCAAAAATATCATCGGCTTATACGATGACAGAAAAATAGCGCAGTTCACAACAGCGGACAAACCAATAAGGAACTTCATCAATGCCAAGACAGACCAGCAAAAACAAAAGGCAAGTGACCAATACAACAAGGCATACGAAAAACACAAGGAAAAGAAACCCTTAGGAGAACGAATGCGAACAGCAAAGCGTGACAACAAACTCACAGAAATCCGCAGACGACTAACACAGAAGACCGCAGTTCAGCGAATACAGAAGAGGGTGAGAGCGGAACAATCCAAGGAAACACATGCATATTCCGTAGACCTTATGTTCTTCAAATTTAAACTCCCCAAGGATACCATCAAAGCATCCTTCAAAGACAGCAAGGGTAGACCCCTAATCCCGATCTGGTATGAGACTAAGAGAGCAATTATACAAACAACAGACTATATAGAAGACTTATCGGGCAGACGTGTGTTTCAATACGAGACCAAAGACAGGTGTGTTTTCAAGAAACTATTGAAGACAATAATGTCTGACCCAGATATGGAGGATACCCTTCGCTTCGTCCATTCCTACATAGTGTGCATCAAAGTTAAGGATGTAGACAGAGTAGATGGTGACACTGATTTTATACCAGTGGACGAGAATTTAACTGACACTTCCCATGTGAGCATGTTTCACAGATACATACAAACTCCATTAAACCCAGAATACGAAACACTAAAGGAAGCAATCAAAGTAAACCATTATCAAGAAAACCAGTGTTGGTTGAACACCATAACCGATTACTATAAGGACACACTTATGGGAGAAAAGCGCAGAGAAAAGAACAGACTAACCAGACAGAGCATGTTGACCCTGATAGGTAAGTCAGAAGAGGATTTTAAGACATCAGGTGCATCAATAAAGGAAATGGTTAAAGTGTTTGAGCACTACAGGATCCAAGTCAGAATATACAATGCTTTTGAGAGACTGATTTTTCAGTATGACCCGCCCACACGAGATCATCATATACCAACATTATATGCCATTGTGAAGAACAACCATATATACACAGTAACCGATAATTTGAATGTATTAAGGCAGATGTTACCAAGAAACTCTGGGTATGACATTTCATTGAAGGCTTCTCCTGATTACCGCCTGAATGAGAAGGACGAACCCGTTCAATGTAAAATGATACAGTCGCTAAACGACATCAAGAAATTCAATGGAGAAGGCGAATACGCGAATGCTAAAGGCGACACCGAATACGCGAATGCTAAAGGCGACACCGAATACACTCTGATACACGACGGTCATGACCTTGCCGAGCTCCTTTATGAAAGCAAAAAAGCAGGATACGAACCGCAAGTTAAATTCAGTGCAGGTATAGTGTCGGAACTTAATTTTAAATTCAGGATAAAAAAGAATGTCATCAAATACAAAGTTAAGACCCAGAACCTAGTAAACAACTCCATTGACGGAACTATATCAGTGAGAACTGAGCAGATCTACAACAACATGTCTAAAGCAATGTATGTATTTAGCAAGTCCTGTTTAATCCACTGCATAAGTCATAATATAATAAGATTGACGTGGAATTGTTCAAGGAATGTAGAACGATAAACCCAGTTGGTGAGATAAACAGACACTACGTAATATATTTCTTGACTGCTCTCCATGTGTCATCCACATGCACACTAGGGCTAAAAATGTATATCCTTTCAAATGAACCACGGTATATCTTTAAAGTTAGATTTTGTATTAAAACAGATTTACCACCTGGTGAAGAGGCAACACACAGCATTCTTGCTGGTAGACTTGGCATCATCTCATATTTACTATTCTTATAATTGTATTTGGGTATGTCTATAGGTTCTACTTTAGGAATATCTTCTAACATTAATACTAGTTAGAAATTATATCATTTAAATATATATGGATAAATACATAGAAGTAATAAATGAGATAGAGAAATTTGATGAAATAATAAAACTCCAAGATATAGAATGTGTTGTCGTAGTTTGTTGGAATTCCTTAAGGCACTCTGCTTTTATATCAAAAATGTTGATAAAAGCGATGAAAGCTATAAGAAGAAAGGGTTTTTCATTAATTCTAAAGGTGTAGCTTGCATCCCTTGTAGGTGCAAAAGACAATCTTACCATAAGGAAACAAAAACGATCAAAGAGAATAACATAATAACAACTAACATTGTGGAAGACAGGCATAATATGAAATTTGGAGCAACAGGTCGACATGTATCACCTGATGAAAACCACATATTCAAAAATGATAATCAAACAGGAAGCGTTGAAATATGTGATACTGGTTTTGGAACTCATGGTATAACACCCGAGGAATGCGAACAGAGAATAGAAATGACTGAGACAGACATTGAATGTATTAAGAAAGACATAGAACGATTGGAAGTAGAGATTGAAAAATTGAAGTTTAAAATTGATAAGAAAATTGTATAATAATATAAATTACAAGAAGCGATTTAAATTGTTGTTTGAGTTTTATCAGCTAGAAGAATTGCTAAAATAATGTTGTAAAGAGTGATTTACTTATAATAGCGACAGCGCCCCATTTCTCCCATTTCCCCAGTGTGCCTTCCATAAGCACGTCATAAGAGCGTGGTAATGGTTAATTAGTTTGAAACAAGGTTTGTCATAATTAA